CTCTTAATCCATGAATAAGGAGTGCAAAAACATGTGAGAAAAGCTTTAAAATATTATGGTCACCCTAATTGGAACTTTTTGTCAAAACTGCAACAAGACTCAACAGTAACAACAAAACAAAGAGAGAGAAAAAATGAGAAAGTGAACCAATATTGCTGCATCTTATGAGACAGTCGTATCAGAAAGGCCAGAAAAAAAAGCCATTTTTATATAGTATATCTACACCATGTGATTTCATGCCAGTTCAAATTCAAGACCCTGGTATCATGTTCTTTAGAACTGATAAAGCCCTGTTTTGGATTGGTGAAACGTCATGCGGTACAGTTGCCAAGATTTAAGAGAGTACTCTATTCATACTAGTTAATGGTTAATGTCCCTGCCTAGATATCAACAAACTGTGAAACTGCATTGTAAATCAAAGAGAACGTCGAAGAACTTCTCTGTGTATTGGCATGTTGCTTATATTGTGCTAACCACCATGATGCCCGCTTTATTACATTTTGTAACATACAGTAATTTAGGAGAATGGCAATACGAAGGACAATAACAGATGAGAAAAAAATTAACTACATCCATTCCCACTAAAATTATGTTGGTCTCCATTGTTTGGAAGTTCAGAAGAAATGGTGAACATTTGCTACCTCACTGAACAACACTGGAGCTCCTCACTTTCAAATGTACACATATTTCAAATAACACATGTATAGATGCGTGTGTCTGCCATCCTATCTAAAGTGTGATCTGCCTTGTGACCAGTACTCCTGGGAGGGGAAATTCCCAGCGACCTTACTCATGATGAAGCGGTTGGGGATGCTTGGACTGATTCCAGATTCAGTGGCTAACAGTACAATGTTTCATTATGAGGTTACACTCAATTTGTTCCCATGGGGTGGGGTTTTAGCAAAACACAAATGTGCCACAGTTGCAGTATATGACATCTGATCTACTTGATCAGTTTGTATTTTTTATCCTCCAATATTTTTTCATACTCAAAGACAAATTCTTGATAAGTGGGTAAATGTGCCAGCCAAAAAGGTGTAACAGTGATTTGTGACTGAAAATTTTCATTAAACATAACCGAAAAAAATCTGTCTTTCAAACCTACACAGCATACGATGTGAACATTTAATTGAGAGGCTGCGATTTTACATAATTATTTGAAGCAGGTTGTAGCATTTGCACCAACGTTGAGGACACACGCACACACAAATTACAGTGCCTTGCAAAAGTATTCATACCCACTGAACTTTTCCACATTTTGTCACGTTACAACCACAAACAAAAATGTATTTTATTGGGATTTTATGTGATAGACCAACACAAAGTGGCACATAATTGTGAAGTGGAAGGAAAATGATAAATGGTGTCCAAAATTTTTTACAAATAAATATCTGAAAAGTGTGGCGTGCA